ACGCTTCAAGCCGCCGGCTGTCACGGAAACGCCTCGGAAGCATCGAAAAAGCCGTTCTCTCACCTCCCACGGGTCCTCTGGCTGGTGCACAAGAAGCCGTTCTCTCACCTCCCACGGGTCCTCTGGCCACGGGTCCTCTGGCTGGCGCACAAGAAGCCGTTCTCTCACCTCCCACGGGTCCTCTGGCTGGTAGACACCTGTTCCGAGTGATTTCCTCCGCCACAGCTTTCCACAATCTAATTCGAGACCAAAAACCGCCCGAAGGTGCGCTTCCCGGTACGCCCCCAGAATCTCTAACGTCGCTTTCGGACCCCGTAAAGCAAGTCTGTGAAGCAGCGTCGCGCACGCCCTGTCTTCCGCTGTCGGGCCTTCAGCAACGCTTCAAGCTGTCAGACCTTCCGCAACGCTTCCAGCATGCCCTCGGTTGCCTTCTCTGGCGCGCGCCCCCTTCAACCGGCGGGGTCGGCGGATTTTTGTGTGTGGGCTTGAATGAGAACAACAGTCACGCAAGAATCATCAGCTGATACGAATTCTCTTGAGGAGTGGCAATGCACCGACCCATCTTGTGGTTATGGTGGAATTGATCAGCCAAATCAGGCCGGCGACCAGAGCTACTGATGGTGATTAGAGCTACTCATGTTTTGGCCAGCGCTTTCTATCTTGTCTCTAGTAACCTACTGTAGTTGTGCTTGTTGACAGGACTGCTCGGACGTCTTGCAAGACCCCAATGTTGGAAGCCGGGCCAACGTCTACAGTTGCGGTGCGCTGAAGGATCAGAAGGCGACTCATGGCCTTTGGTGGGAACATGGGGTGGGCTGCGTCGACAAGAAGGCGCCGGGCGAGTGGGGTGTGTGGCCGTTCTTTCTCAGCGCTGGAAGGGATGGCGCAGAAGAGATCGGTTTTGGTTGGTGTAAGGTGTGTTGGTGTAAATGGAATTGCTCGGAAGGTGAGTTGGAAGGGGGGGTTCCAGCTATGCAATGCAGAAAGTCGGCATAGTTGAAAGATCCAGGCATACATGTAATTATATATATATAATATATATATATATGTATACACATATGTACATTATAAACAAAAAGTACCTGCGTATATATTTGCACATCAATAGATTGACACGGACCCTCTACGTGCCCTTGACACGGACGCCTTTGACCGGTGAAGCCCAACCACCGGGGCACGGACGTGTTTGTGCCAGGTACGTGGAGTGCCTACAAACCCGATCGTGCCCCGAAGGGGAGGACGAATCGATATTAGCTTTGACAACTTGCCTTGGATGCATGAGTAAATGTCTCTGCATTTTTTCGCTGATTTTGCCATTATTACCTTGCTTGACTTGATTGATCAAAAGAAAGTCTGACATATTGTAAATGTTTGAAACATCAATTTTTAGGGGTTTAAAGATTTCACAAATGGTTGATGTTATTATTCATAGGATAAAGTAATTCCCTCCATCCATTAAAAACACACACACACACACACACCGATTAACAAACACTCGTGTGTGTGTGTGTGTGTATGTGTGTGTGTGCCCCTTGTAGTCACAGGGATCCTGTCGGATTGTGTTTTTCTCGTTTTTCAGCAGGGGGACCAGGCATCTTGCTGCTGACCTGGTCTAACAAAGCTAGGCAGCAAGATGGGATACTGGAGTTGGCCACTCCAGCGTACCTGCGATTCTTTTCGAATGGCATGAGGCTATAAGCCCAGAACCTCAAACTGCAGACATGCACGACACGTCGTCACTTCGACCTGCTCGCCGACCTCGATCTTGCGCTTTGGGCCACCTTTCCTTTTGAAGACCCCCAGGATTCGATGGCTTCCTACTGGTACTCTTAGGAAATGGAACCCTAGGCCGGCGTGTGGCACCGCTTTCAGTTCAGCAGACCCTATCCTAAGTTTGTTTGGCCTTGTGCCAGTCCGGGATGAGCCCGTAGAGTGCCTTTCGTGGACCCGTCGAACGGGTGTTTGTCCATGTTCCCCAGCTTTGGGAACGTAGGTGTCCGAAGCGGACAGTAGCTGGCTCATGCCATCAGAACTCCGAATTTTGTCCTATCTTTGGAGTTCCAAGTTGGCTCATGCCTTTACGTGACCGCAGCGGTCTAAGCTGGCTTAACTAACGCCTCAACGTGGTCAGAGCGACCGAAGTACTTTTGAGGTTCGTTGGAGCCTGTCCCATTCTCAGGTGCACACACAGCGCGTACGTTCAAACGAGGCAGGTCCCTAGGCGCTTCTAATGAGGTTTGGTTTCATCGGTTCTCGTCCCCTCCATCTGTTTCCCCTTTCATCCCTTCCCCTCCACATACTTTTGTTTCCTCTTTTCTTTCACGTCTTCCTGTCTTCATGTCCGGTCATCTCATCCTTTTCTTCGTTTGCGCGCACATTGGTCCCGGCCTTAGTGTGTACGTGCACTTCTACCTACCTTTTAACACAGGCTTCAGGTCGTCTAGGTCTTTAAAATGAGGTGGGCTTCATCGGTTGTCCCTGTGCACTTGGTTCCCCTTTCATTTCAACCACACACACCTTTGTCCCGTCTCGTCCTCCTGTCATGTCTTCATTCTTTTGTCTCTTGCGCGCGCACACGTGCACATTGGCCCTCACCTTAGCTTTACGCCTCCCCTTGGGGAGGCGTGTGTGTGTGTGTGCCCCTTGTCACAGGGTTGTGTTTTTCTCGTTTTTCAGCAGGGGGACCAGGCATCTTGCTGCTGACCTGGTCTAACAAAGCTAGGCAGCAAGATGGGATACTGGAGTTGGCCACTCCAGCGTACCTGCGATTCTTTTCGAATGGCATGAGGCTATAAGCCCAGAACCTCAAACTGCAGACATGCAACACGTCGTCACTTCGACCTGCTCGCCGACCTCGATCTTGCGCTTTGGGCCACCTTTCCTTTTGAAGACCCCCAGGATTCGATGGCTTCCTACTGGTACTCTTAGGAAATGGAACCCTAGGCCGGCGTGTGGCACTGCTTTCAGTTCAGTACACCCTACCCTAAGTGTGTGTTAACACCTGTTCCTAAGGTTTGTGCCACGTCGGTTTCTAGAGGGCTGGTTGCTCTTGGCCTTGCTACTAGGAACT